TTTTAGTCAAAAAACAACACGTCTCCTGGCGTCCTAGTTGGCACTGGTGTCTGTCTGTACGTTGTACGGCTTGGCACGTTAACACTCTCGCAGATGCCAAGTGCAACCTGAAACTGAGAAAATTTCGGCTGGGAGAGTGCCTTGGTCAGAACGTCAACAAGCATGTCCTGAGTAGGACAATACACAAGCTTGACGATTCCATCTTCATGCTAGTCTCGAAGAAAATAATGTTGTTCTTGAGTTGATCTTGCAATTCTTGCTTAAGGCAATGTAGCCCTAATTGCCACAATAGATCGCTATTGAACCTGGAAAAGAGTGTTCCATGTCTGTTAGAAGACAGCCAAGCCAGATGGCCTCCTTGCAAGCAGTGCTAGCGGCCATATACTCAGCTTTGCAACTAGAGCAAGCCACAACACTCTGTTTCTTGCTGCTCCAAGAAAGAGCTGCTTGATGCAAGCTAAAAAAAATAGCCTGTGTGTGATCTTCGTGAATCTGGGCAGCCAGCCCAGTCCGAATCACAGTAGCCCTGTAAGCTTGTGAATTTTGGCATGTAAAGTAAGCCAAAAGTAGTACCAAAAGATTCTTTTTACTGCTTGCCAATGTGCATGGCTTGGATTGTTGAGAAACCTGCTTACCATGCTCATTGAGAAGGCAATGTCTAGTCATGTCCAAGTACATCATGCTTCCCACAGCACTTCAGTAAGGAACGTTCGCCATTTTCCTTCTATCTAAGTCTGTAGAAGGAGACGTATCCTTAGAAAGTCTTAAGCCAGCAACCATTGGCATGTGTGCAGGCGCACAAGAGTCCATGGCGAATCGTTGCAGGACATCTTCCACATGCTTGGTTTAATGCAGAAAGAGGGAGCCATCTTGTCTGCAATCAATCTGGATGCCAAGGCAATAGCGAGCTTCACCAAGGTCTTTCATCTCAAAATGAGATGAGAAAGCCACCTTGATTTTAGCTAGGAAAACAAGGCTGTTGCAAATGAGTAGGGTGTTGTCTACATACACAGCGATGTAAATCACTTCATCTCCCATTCGTTTAAAGTAGAGATTCGGATCATTCTTGTTCCTGGAAAAGTGAGATTTCACAAGAAAATCATCATCTCTTTTAGCTGCAGGAACTTTGCAGTTTTTCATTGTTCTTGTACTTGGCCATGAACTCTGGTTAAGGTTTTCACTTTGGACTGTCCATCTTTTTCCAGCCGAGTGAAGCAAACATGTATGCGGACGTGGAAGCTGCCTATCAGTGCTTGGAGCGAGACTATGGCGTGAGACAAGAGGATGTGGTGCTCTATGGACAGTCCGTGGGAAGTGGCCCGACAGTGGACCTGGCGGCCAGGCTCCCGAAAGTTCGAGGCGTTGTTCTTCATAGTCCAATCCTTTCCGGCTTGCGTGTTATGTACCCCGTCAAGAGAACATACTGATTATGAGAAGAGAGTTCTTTGATTTGATTTTCCTACCTTCGGTTCCTTGCAGAACATTGAAAAGATAAGACGCGTGAATTGTCCCGTGCTCATCATTCACGTAAGTGATAAAGTTTCTTCTTTATTCTTTCTTCTTTTCCCCACTTGGTTCTAGTTGTAGGTCAGGAATCTGATCTTCATTTTCACAGGATACCAGCGACGAAGTTGTGGATTGCTCGCATGGCAGCTGTGGGATCTTTGCAAGGAAAAGTACGAGCCACTGTGGCTCAAAGGAGGGGGTCACTGCAACTTGGAGCTTTATCCAGAGTATATCAGAAGTTTATCATGTCTCTTTAGAAATCCAGTGGCCCAAGGAACGGGCAAGGGATCGAAAGGACCCGGTCTTACTAACGAGAAAGAAAAAACGCTTGTATTTTTATGAAACAGTTCTTACAGGTAGACCACCACTTATTGCAAGAGCTTTTTACGCTGCTCACTTCAAAGAAATTTTATATCTTGTTATGAGAAGAGCCACGAAGCGTCGAGATGAAGATAGAGCCGAGCCGCATGACCGTCATTGGGACCTCATCCAAAGACGACGTGATTGGCAGGGGTTCCAGAAGTGTTGATGGTAGCGAGACGAGCTTTAAAGGATATAGTGGATCCTGGGGATATTCATTCATTCATTCATTAGCTGTTTACAGGGTTTCGTGGCACCCACCAAGATGCATTGAGGCCGACAGAGTAGAGTAAGCTGTTTTGACGATCTCGTGAGCCGTTCGTTTGCTGAATTCCTCTGAGATATAATCCCAGACGCGTAAAGTAACAGTGAAACATTGGAAGTACCAAGCTTTTGGTGTTTCCAGAGCTATGAGCATTGTTGTGCTCCTGGCCAAGTTCTTATTCTCGTTCATATCCATGTTTTATTTACACCACTCGCTCTTTAACAAAATGCACATTGGTATGCCAAATCACGTGTGAACTAATAAATAGTTTTAGTATTTCGTCCTTAAGAAAGATCAAAGATATCACTTAAAACTAACGAGAGAACACCACGTAGACCATCTTGGAGCAATTTCACAATGCATAAGCTTGTGTGTGCTTTGTTGGTGTTTGTAATTAACACATTCCTACTCGTGGTAAGCTCACAATTCTTCTGAGACCAAAGAACTTTATTTGGCTTCTTGTAGAGTTGTGATTCATCATGTGGAGGCTTTCTGAAAACCTGTACACCCATCTCTTATTGGGAAAATGTGCTGAAAGCAAGTTGCCAAATGGTCAATGGCTCTAAGCACGAGTCAAGCTTGAGCACAGACAAGTGCGGTGGAGTGGCCAATTGCAGGCTCCAGCAGCCTGGATCAAGCCAATCAGCTCCAACCTTCTCTTGTACCGGTAACAACTCCCTCGGCGTCAATATGGAGGAATATGCGGGCAACAACGACGGCAACATGGTGTGTTGCAGGAAAAGTAATCGGTCTGGCACCTGCGGTGGATTTCTCAACAGTTGCACTCCTACTTCTTACGACCCGACCACCGGGATGCTGTGGGCTTCCTGCGAGAAAGTGGACACTACATGGAATCACAATGCTTCCCTGGATGTTAGGACGTGTACCTCAGATCCCAATACCAGCTGCTCTTTGCAGGGAGCCAAACTGAGTTGCAACTATAGCAGCGGAGACGCCGTGAAAATGGCCACTCTGGCAAGCAACAATGATGGAAATGTGGCATGTTGCAGTTCTGCACCAGCACCAGTTTAAGCAGAAGGAAGATAATAAAAACATTCAGTACAATAAAGGTCTTTGGAAAAGCTTGTTGATCTCTAGAGCTATTCTTGGCTTTTACATAAATATTTGCAAATTTACATGAAGATCACAGCTGGCATACTAGAAGCACCTTGTCTTTCCATCACTTTGGACATACGCTCCGAGAGATGGAACTTAGGAAAGCTGGTGGCCGTGGAAAAATATTTTCTTTTATGCTCTACAGGAACTTTGCAGTTTTTCATTGTTCTTGTACTTGACCATGAGCTCTGGTTAAGTTTTTCACTTTGGACTGTCCATCTTTTTCCAGCCGAGTGAAGCAAACACGTACGCGGACGTGGAAGCTGCCTATCAGTGCTTATGGCTCGAGAGAAGAGGATGTGGTGCTCTATGAAAAGTCCATGGGAAGTGACCCGACAGTGGACCTGGCAACCAGGCTCCCGAAAGTTCGAGGCGTTGTTCTTCACCTTTTGAAAAAAAAGAATAAAATAATGCACAATTGTCAACAAAAGAACTTGTGGTGGCAAGAAATAAGACATGGTATTTCGTCCTTTAGTGTGCATTCCGGATTTAACAAAGCTCAAAGACATCACAATTTTTTCTAATGAACATTAGAAATCACCTTAACTATCGTAGCACAATGCCAAAGCTTGTGTGCACGTTGTTGGTGTTTGTAATCAACACATTTCTACTCGTGGTAAGCTCACACCAAAGAAAATTCTTCTGCGGCCAGGAAATTTGATTTGGGTTCTTGTAGAGTTGTGATTCATCATGCGGAGGCTTTTTGAAAAGTTGTACACCCCTCTCTTATAGAAACAAAGTCCTGAAAGCAACATGCAAAATGGTCAATGGCTCTACACACAATTCAAGTTTGAGCACAGACGAGTGTGGTGGAGTGGCCAATTGCGAACTCCAGGGACAGGGATCAAGCAAATCTCCAATCTTCTCTTGTACCAATGACAACTCCCTCCCCGTTGATATGGAGAATTATGCAGGAAACAATGATGGAAGCATGGTGTGTTGCAACATAAACGATGGCTCCGGCACCTGCAATAAATTTCTTGATAGTTGCACTCCTACTTCTTATGACCAGGCCACTGGCGTGCTGGTGGCCTACTGCAAGAAATTGGACAGTACACAGAATGACAATACTTCCCTGGATGTTAAGACATGTACCTCGGATCCCAAAGCCAGCTGCTCTTTGGAGGGAGGCAAGCTGAGTTGCAGGTATAGCAACGGAGAGGCCGTGGAAATGGCCACGCTCGCAGCCAACAGTGACGGCAAGCTGGTATGTTGTACTGTGACCTCTGTGCATCTACAAAAAAGTAGTTCTGCTAGTAATAAACTGAAGAATTTGTCTTTGAAAAAGTTTCTCTGGAGCTATTCTATAGTGCTTTTCTTATTGGCTTTTACATATTGTGGTTTGATTGATACTTTTCACTTCTTAATTACAATAGAAAAGAAAGAAAAACACTAGATCATCCATTAACCCATGGTCTCATGCTAAGACAATTGTCTAAATAAGTGATGGCAGACTGCACATCATGTGTGGATAAGAGAGTGTATTTTCCTTTTATGTTTGTGATTCTCATAGATTTTGCGCCACCGGAAGAAATCAGCTTATCATTTTGATTTCCGTTTTGTCGCATTTTCAGCAAGTCCATTTGATATGTTTTCGAAGGGTCTTTTTATTTCGTCAAGAGATGGAAACGACCAGCGTGACTAGTTGGGACCAAGTCAAGATCACAAAAGCAAACCCGGTCGTACGCAATTGACCTCCGTGAATCAAGGCTTTTCATGAATGTATTTCATTAAGGTTTCATCAAAGACTGTGGCCCTATTAACAGCGTCCTTGGCATTTCTTTCAGCGGAAGGTTTGTAGGTTGAAGAAACAGGCACGACATGAAGATGGCTAATAACTTTCTGGTGTTCATTGGTCTTGGATTGGCCATGGGCGCCATGACGTGCACGGTCGCAACTATCATTTCCTTGTTTTCACTTTCGTAGTGGTCCGACAGTGGACTTGACGGCCAGCCGAGACGAGCAAGAGTGGATCCCTGAAGTATTGATGCTTAGACACTTAACGCAAAAGGGAGAGCTGTTCTGCAGACAAACACTGCTGTCCTGCCGGCCCAGTTGCATGGCAGCTTAGCATCAAAGCTTGTTTCGCTTTAACCGTTGCTTAAAATAAAATGTGAGAAAGTGGAGTCACGAACCTCTTACTTCAGAATAAGATCGAGCCGAGCAGCATGGCCGTCGTTGGGACCATGAGATTGTCATCCAAAGACGACGTGATTGGCAGCGATTCCACAAGTGTTGCTGCTAGCGAGATGAATGTGACACGAGCTAGAGTATCGAGCGGATCCAAGGCATAAAAGCCCAGATACGTGAAGTAATAGATCGACCTGAAACGATGGAAGAGTCACTCAAGGCCAAGCTTTTGTTTCGAAAAACACTCACGCGAAAGAGAGCGCTGTTCCACAGACGAACATTGCTGTGCTTCCGGCCCAGCTTTTTTTCTCATTGTATGGAAGCTTTTCACGCCCGAACTTCCTGCCTATTATGTCAGCAATCCCTGTAGCGCGAGAATCAGGCAAAGAAAGCTTTTGGATGGATTTACTTACCGTCACCGCCACACATCACAGACAGAGCTATCATTCCAACGGGAGAGTCACGCCAGAAGCACACTGTGCTTATGAAGAGCACCGCTACATAGTATAAAGGACCTCGTAAAAGCTCTCTATAAAAGCAGAACAAGTAACGATGAGCAAGAGAATAAAAACTTCTGGTGTTGTTTAAATGATACTCCACTCACTTGGCATCGCCATCTCTACTCATCGACTTCACCACCCCTTCGTTTGTTCTCAAACCGAGGCCGAGGATTAGAAGACGCACAGCGTTGGCCAGTGGAACTAGCGAACAAATGTAGCGGGACGCCGACGAAGAGCTGTAAACAAACCGGTTTGAGACTCAAGAACCGAAAAACATTGATGCGCTCTCGAGAAAGAAAAGGATTTTCTTTCGTTGATACCTGAAGAGGGGCCACGAAAGCATGAAGAGTGGACCCGTTGTCATATGGACGAGCTTGCGAGAAAGCTTCTGCGCTGAAAGAAAGAGGCAATTAGAACAGAGGAGGAGGAAGCAAACAAATAGATGAAAGAAAGGAAGAACGACGTCTTGTTCTTTACCTGGTCTAGGACATTGAATCTAGTGAGTAGCTCGAAGCCTTGGATCCAGAGATAAGCTCCAGCCACCACCGCTCCCACCACCCCGAAATCCTGCTGGAATTCTTGGATAGCGCTCATGGCGGCGCACCGAGCAACGCGCAATCTCTTCTTCGTGCTGCTCGTAGATCGTCCCCTGCCCCATTCTTTGCGGAAAGAAACTCTCCATGCCGATTTGTTCGCATGGAGCATGCATAGCGCGCCGGATCGATTGCACGCCTGCATTTGAAACTGGGAATCGGCCGATGTGGGAAGAAGCGACGCCGGCATTTCTGCTCGCCTTACCGCGCCATGGATCTCTTTCAGAACCGGGAAGAACCCTAAACCCCACAAAATTGGGGAAATTTGGAGCTTGGTTAGATTTTCTTAGCGATTTTTCTTGCATTGATCGATCGATCCACCGATAGACAGAGAGAGTCCAGTACTTCTTCGGTTACCTATGACAACAGCCTCCGGCTCGGCGATTTCCGGCGGAACTTCCGTGTGGAGATCAAATATCTGACGGAGGGCGATCTATATGATTGGAATCGATGCCGCACTTGCGAATGCTTTTCGGAGGATTTTGATCGCGGAAGGTCGCTACTTTCTCTCTTTCTTTCTTTCTTTTTTTCTGTGTGGAGCAGCGTCTGAAGGACTTATTTTTTTCTTCTTAGTTGCAAAGAGAACACGTCGGTGATTCAAGACGAGCTCTGCGCTCATGGACTCGGTTTGGTTCCCGACAAGGCCAAAGAGGACTTTTCCGGTAGCGACTGAGAAGAATACTATTGTTTTCTCCTTCGAAGTGAAATGCAAGCGACAGGGAGATCGCATGCAGGTTATTTTACTTCCGTATCCTCTCTCGCTGGGACTAATTTTTCGATTCCAGGAAAATCTGACCAGCTCAAATGGCTCCTTGGAGGAAGTTTACATTCGAAGGTCTGTAAGGTCTAAGATCTATGGTCTGTATGTCTTTGGCGTTTTGTTTTTCTTTTCTGGCTCGATCTGATGCGAAAAGTTTTGCTGCTCTAGTCACTGTTGATTCAACTGGAGCTCTTCCACTCTTCACAGAAGCGGTAAAAATCCTTGCGTGTTATGTATCCCGTCGAGAGAACATACTGGTTTGATATCGACAAGGTATGAGAAGAGTTCTTTTGGATACTTCGATTTCGGATTCCGACTTTCGGTTCCTTCCACTGGTTTTCTCAAGCGACATGATAAACTTGCGCAAGTGTTTGATATACTCTGGATAGAGCTCCAAGTTACCCCCTCCTTTGAGCCACAGTGGCTGGTACTTTCTTTCCCACTGCTGCTTGCCGTGAACTTCGTCGCCGGTACCCTGTGAAAATGAAGATCAGATTCCTCGCCTACAGCTAGAACCAAGTGGGAAAATGGGATAATCCTCAAAGGGTCAATTAGAGGGAATATTTACAGTAACAATTAAGAAAGTCGACATGACAAATATCAAGAATTGTACCTCGAATCCTAAGACCAGCTATGTGTTCGAGAGTAGTGGAGAGGTGAAATGGAGAATTTGTCTTTGGAAAAGCTTGTTTCTCTGGAGCTATATCTGCTCAATCATGCTTTTGTCATCATGAAATGCATGTTTGCTAGCGAGATGAGTGATACGAGCTAGATACTGAGCTAGAGTATCTAGCGGATCCAAAGCATAATAGATCGACCCGGAACGCTAGAAGTGTTACGAAAGAAAAAGGCTTTTGTCTTTTGTTCCACAGACGAAGATTGCTGTCGGTTTTTCGGAAGCCTGACTATGACGTCAGCGCGAGAATCAGGCTCCAGAGAGAAAAGAAAAGAAAAAACCATAAGCTTTTGGAATGGATTTACTTACCGTCACCAAAACACATCACAGACAGAGCTATATCGTTCCAATGGGGGACTCAGGCCAGAAGCACACTGTGCTTATGAAGAGCAGTACCAAGGAGCTCGTAAAAGATCTCTAGAAAAGAAGCACAAGGAAACGACGAGCAAAAGAATATAAAAACTTCTGGTGTTGCTTGAATGATCACTTGGCATCGCCATCTCCACTCACCCCTTCGTTTGTTCTAAAACCAAGGCCGAGGATTAGAAGTTGGCCAGTAGAACTAGCGATGTAGCGGGACGCCGACGAAGAGCTGTTTAGGGACAAAACAAACATGGAAAATCGGTTTAGACTCGGTTGAGACTGAAGAACAAAAAAACGTTGATGTGTTTTAGTGAGCGAGTAGAGAAAGAAGGAAAATCTCTTCAACAATACATGAAGAGGGGCCACGAAAGCATGAAGAGTACGAGCTTGCGAGAAAGCTTCTGTGCTGAAAGAAAGAGACAATTAGAACAGAGGAGGAGGAAACAAACAAATAGATGAAAGAAAGACGAGAAGAGAACGACGTCTTGTTCTTTACCTGGTCTAGGATATTGAATCTAGTGAGTAGCTCGAAGCCTTGGACCGCTCCAGCCATCACCCCGAAATTCTTGGATAGCTCTCATGGCAGCGCATCAAGCAGCGCGCAATCTCTTCTTCCTGCTGCTCGCAAATCGTCCCTTGCCATGCCGACTTGTTCGCATGGAGCATCCTGCAAGATCTGCGGATGCCGGAAGCACTGATGTCGCTAGCATTTCTCCTTCCAAGAACCCTAGAAAACAGAGTGGCATTGTGAAGAACCCTAAACCCCACAAATGGGGGAAGGCGGAGGGCTGCCCGCGCATTTGGAGCTCCAGCGCACTCGCGTCATCTGTGCGTCGGATGCGCCTTCGTATGTAAGTCGCTGCTTCTCTCTAGGCAGATTTTCTTAGCCATTTTTCTTGCATTGATCGATCGATCCACCGATAGACAGAGACTGTCCAGTACTCTGGGGCGTATTCTTCGATCAACTATGACAACAGCCTCCGGCTCGGCGATTTCCGGCGGAACTTCCATGTGGAGATCAAGTCTCTGACGGAGGACGATCTCGAGTTTGATATGATTGGCATCGATGCCGCGCTTGCGAATGCCTTTCGGAGGATTTTGATCGCGGAGGTAAGAGAAATACTCTCTTCTAATATTTTCTCGAGCACAGTCTGTGGAACTATTTTTTTTTTTCTCCTTCTTTTGTAGGTTCCAACCATGGCTATTGAGAAAGTTCTCATCAAAGATAACACGTCGGTGATTCAAGACGAGGTCTTCGCTCATCGCCTGGGTTTGGTTCCAATCAAGGCCGATCCAAGACTTTTCAACGAGAAAACTAGTACGTTTTTTCTTCTTTTTTCTTCTTTTTTCTTCTTTTTTCTTCCCTTTTCTTCTTGGCAACGCAAAGTATTTTTCCAGACGAAGATGTAGCGACCGAGAAGAATACTATTGTTTTCTCCTTAGAAGTGAAGTGCACGCGACAGGGAGATCGCATGATCAATGCTTCAGGTTTTTTTTACTTTCGTATCTCCTCTCGCTGTGATTGATTAATTTCCGGTTGCAGTAAAGTCTGACCAGCTCAAATGGCTTCCTGGAGGAAGCTTATATTCTATGACTGACGACTCAAACAAAACTTACACATCGTTTAGCTGCCGGCAGGATACGATTCAAAACGATATCGCTCCAAGGTACAAGGACATTTTATTGGCAAAGCTTAGACCAGGTCAGGTAAAGTATTCTTGCTTCGTGCGTGTTTTTTATTCTCATTTTTGGATGACAATGCTTTCGTAGGCTATTGAATTGGAAGCTCACGCCGTCAAAGGAATCGGAAAAACGCACGCGAAGTGGTCGCCCGTTGCTACAGCCGCGTACAGGATGCTTCCGGAGGTATACAGCTACTTGCGTACATGATCACGACCATAATTTTCTAACAAGTGTTTTAACAGGTTGTCTTGCTAGAAGAGATCGAAGACGAACTTGCGGAAGAGCTGGTCCAGAAATGTCCCATGAAAGTGTTTGACATAGAGGACATCATGGGAGGTATTGTGTTGTTTTATAAGCTCGTCTCTAGTCTCTAGCTGATGTTCTTCTTTGCCAGGAAAACGAGCCAGAGTAGCGGCACCGAGGAGCTGCACGCTGTGTAGGGAGTGTATACGAGGAGACGATTGGGAGAAGCGAGTTCAGCTCAGGCGTGTGAAAGATCATTTCATCTGTAAGTTTTTGGTCACGCGATCGTTTTTTTCTGCTTGATCTGATGCCAAAGTTTTTGCTGCTCCTCCAGTCACTGTTGAATCGACTGGAGCTCTTCCACCCGAGGTGCTCTTCACAGAAGCGGTGAAGATCCTCTCAGCGAAGTGCCAGAGAATCTATAATGAACTCTCGTGAGAGGAAGAGATTTTTAATTCACGAGCATCTCGAGGAATATTCCCGTGACGAAATAGCGGCATAAATTTAAAAGCGGCCAACGGGCGGCGCTTACCAGGTTCGGCAGACGAGCCGTACGTTCTAGTAAATCTACCAGACCTAGAAAGCGGCTCCGTACGCTCTTGGTCCGGGACCGAGCCTGTCTCGAGAACGAAGAAGAGGGACTGTCGATGATGGTTTGTGTTCTTCATGGGAGGAGAAGTTTGCCGTTGCGCGGGGAAAAGCCCTAGCGCCTGTCGATCGAGGGGGAAGGAGGTGCATTCTCAGCAGGCGACGAGTCGAGCGGCAATTGTGGTGTGATCGTAGCGGCCGGTCTCCTAGGGTTTGAATCCGCGGGACAGGGATCCGCTGGAGCGCTGTTGAATTGGCCGGCGGCTTTTCCACGGATTCCAGCTGCTGCAAGGTATGCCGTGATTTGGCGAAGGACACACCGGGGCATGCTGTGATCAGCTCGGATGTTTCCAGCCATGGCACCGGAGAGGCGATTGTTTGGCGGAGCTTCCCCTCGCAGTGGAAATGTGGTTTCGGAAAGGGAGATTTCCAGACAGCAGTCGCGAGATTTCTTCGTGGAGGATCCGATGGAAGAGGGATTGAGCGACATCCATATGGCATCGCGCAGAGCGGAGGAAGCAGGTTAGAATGGAGTCTTCTCGTTTGGTGCTATAGACTTCTCATGCATGATTCTTTCTTTCTTGTTTACCGCAGCGCATAGGCGATTCTTGGCCGCGCGATGGCTACACGAGATGCTTGGGGGCCTGGGCATTTCCAATGAGCCTAGCGAAGAAGAGCTCAAGTTTTCCTTGAGGAATGGAATGGTGCTTTGCAACCTTCTCAATAAGATACATCCGGGCATTATTCCAAAGGTGATTTTATGTCGTGCGTGGATCTTATACGTTGTTTAGCTAACACACGCTTCGCGTGCCAGATTGTGGAGAGTCCTCCTCCATCCAGCCCACCCGATGCTGCCCTGTCAGCGTATCAGTATTTTGAAAACGTGAGAAACTTTCTGGTTGCTGTGGAAGATCTCCGGCTACCAAGTTTTGAAGCATCCGACTTAGCTGAGGTTTGTGATCGTGCGTTCTTTGTTTGTGTGTTTGTTTAATCATGCCTGTTAGTCACGTGCTATCGGGGATTCTTTCAGGGTAGTTTATCGTCTGGGACGTTGTCGAAAGTGGTGGACTGCATTCTGGCGCTCAAGGCATATCACGACCAGAGAGAGGGCAAGGGATTCAGTCCTTGGAAGTATGGTGTTCACAAGCTTTCTGGTACAAAGAGTCCGGTGAAGGGGCTGGAAGACATGTACGAGCCTGCAATAACACCGAAAAGCAGCCATACGAGGAAACGTTGGGCAATTCCTGGCGCAGATGTACCGGAGGCTACTGATATTTCTGTAGCATACGAGGCAGGCTCCCCTATTGGTTACCGAGATAGATCTCCCTCACTCAATGGTTTCTACCAAGGATATGATACTGGCTTGGACTCCGAAAATCTGATGTCAGCCTTTGCTTCGCCAGGTGAGTAACGTTCTGGGTTATTGGAATTTAATATATTCGTTGTTTACAGATTCTACTGCCGCTCGTTTACAACAGATTGGCCAAAGGTTCCGAGAAGTTCTTCAAGTGAAGAGAGTGCAAGACATTCAGGCATCGGACCTGGATACTAATCCTAATTTGAAGGTTCATGCGCTTCCATTTTGTTTCCCTCGTTCCTGACAAACTTTACGATTCAGGGCCAACCCGTGCAGTCACTTCCGAGCCTGGTTAAGTCTATTATTAGTGACAAGCAACCTGATGAAGTCCCAGTCGTAAGTGTTTAAAAGAGCTGCTGACGTCCGTTTCATGATGATAATCTTCGTTCATTCAGCTCGTCGAGTATATGATAAAAAAGGTGACGGATGAATTTGAACGGCGGCTTCGTTTACAGGGAGAGCAAGTAAAGAAGGTAAGACAGCCGCTGTTTTCTTAGTGTTTAAGTAACCATCATTTTTTGTAGCTAAAATCTTTGCACAAAGATCTGATGGCGCGAGAATGTAAGCTGTCATCGAGGGCTAAGGTGCTGGAGGCATTAGCTGCAGGTTCAGGCGAGGAAATAAAGGTTTGTATATGCTTACTGCTGTGCAAGCCTACTGAGTTGTTTCTTGTGACAGCTTGTTACTCAACAATTGCAACAAACCAAGGTAATTATGTATAGCTTTTACGTACCGTCTCAGATTTGCTCCGCAGATGGAGAACAAAAGACTTGAGGAAGAGAAACGGATACACGAAGGTGACACCGAGAAGCTGGTACTGGACAGAGATCAAAAGCAGACCACAATCGAGATTCTTACAAATGAACTTCAAGTCATGAAAGCTGATCAGAGGAAGAAGTACGAAATGGAGATTGAAAATGAGAAGTTAATGGAGGAATATAAGCGAAAGCTTTCGGAAATGGATGCGAAACTTGAAGATTCTTTCAGTCAGATGCGGAGTTTTGAAGCCAGTGTTTCTCTTGAACGAAATGAGTTCAAGAATCGCGAAGAGCGGTACAAACAAATAATCTCTTTTCAGTCCAATGCACTTCAGGTACGTCAAATTAATAGCTGGTGATTGTATCTTCCGATTACGTCTGTTTTCAGAATCTGAAGCATACCTCTGGACTTATCAGAACAGGAACGCTCGAAATGCAGAAATGTTGGCAAGATCAGCTTATTAGACTTGGTAATGAGTTTTTAAAATCTTTCTTGTTTCTGACATTAGTTCCCTTTCAGAAAATGAGTTAACAGGACTAACAGAAGCCGCTCAAGCGTACCATGACGTTCTTGCAGAGAATCGCAAGCTGTATAATGAAGTACAGGACTTGAAGGGTATACAGTGCTCCATTAGTTCTCTTCTAATACCATTTACCTGCAGGAAATATTCGTGTTTACTGCCGTGTTAGACCTTTTCTTGTTGGTCAGAAAGATCAAGGGACTTGCGTTGATTTTGTTGGTCAAAACGGGGAAATCATGGTCGCAAATTCGACAAAGGGAAAAGACTCTTATAAGATGTTTAATTTTAACAAGGTCTATGGCCCTCAAGCTCCACAAGGTACGTTCTATATTTTGCTCCAATAGTCACAATGACACGTGCATGCAGACGAGGTTTTTCTGGATGCGCAGCCTTTGATTCGATCGGTGCTTGATGGTTTCAACGTCTGTATTTTTGCGTATGGACAGACTGGTTCTGGAAAAACATATACTATGGTAAGGTGTGAGCTCCGTTAAGATTTGTGTATTAACGTCTATTGATGCAGACAGGGCCAAGTTCAACTGCAAAACAAGATTGGGGGGTTAACTACCGAGCACTAAACGATCTTTTTCAATTATGTCAAAGCAGGAGGGACGCTTTTGCCTACGAAGTTGGGGTGCAAATGATTGAGATTTACAATGAACAAGTGAGAGATCTCCTGGCTGCTGATGGTGTGAGCAAGAGACTTGGCATAAGAAGCTCTTCGTCACTTAATGGCGTGCACGTACCTGATGCTGTTATGATCCCCGTTGCAAATAGCTCAGATGTGCTAGAAATCATGGCTGTCGGACAGAGGAACCGTGCTGTAGGAGCTACAGCTCTTAATGAACGCAGCAGTCGATCTCACAGGTCAGTGGTTTTATTTGTTTTTGTAATGAAATTCCCGTGGATCTTTCTATGCAGTGTACTGACTGTGCATGTGCAAGGCACGGATCTTGCAAAGGGCTGCATTCTCCGTGGCTGTCTCCACTTAGTTGATCTCGCGGGAAGTGAGCGAGTGGAGAAGTCGGAGGCGACTGGAGACAGATTGAAGGAGGCGCAACATATCAACAAGTCTTTATCGGCTTTAGGGGATGTTATTGCAGCTTTGGCTCAAAAGCAGACGCACATCCCTTACCGAAATAGCAAGCTAACACAACTCCTTCAGCATTCTCTGGGTAAGGTTCTCATGGTTGCTGATATCTATATGTATATCCGACGTGAACAGGTGGTCAAGCAAAAGCTCTGATGTTTGTCCATATAAACCCGGACAATGATTCATACGGGGAGACAATAAGTACATTGAAGTTTGCAGAGAGGGTGTCAAGTGTTGAGCTTGGTGCCGCACGTTCGAATAGAGAAGCGAGCGGAATTCGAGAATACAAGGAGCAGGTACATTCTTGGCAAACCAGATGGATAGAGTTTGGTTCACGGTTGATATTTTCAGATAGTGTCCTTGAAAGAGATACTGGCCAAAAAGGATGCAGAAATAGAGCGCTTGCAAGCTTCGAGGGTCCTTCGTAGCAGCATGGAGTTGGAAAAACAGAAACTAAGAGTGTCTCAGTCCACTCGCTCCATTGATGCCCGGAGTAGGAGATCTGTCGAATTGCGCAGTATGGAGGTAATTGAAGCTGGGAGTGACTGCCATCCTTAATCTACTTTTGACAGGCTGGTCGTGCTCCGAGTCAAGATGAAACTGCTGCCGAAGATATACCGGATGTTACTTTGCTGGAAACGCCTCGCAGGTCCGTGGACGGCGACGCCTTCGTAGTTTTTGAGAACAACGTACCGGGGAACTGGCCAGCTATGGAGAATAACTACGAGGACTTGTCTGAAGGAGAGGCGTCCCAGGATTCTTTCTCGGTGGCCAGCGACCAATCTCAGACCATGAGAGCAGCAACAAACAGCTCAAGGCCAGGTCTCAATGCCAACGAGCTACGGTGAGCCTTACAGTAGCTGGTATTGATCTTTGGCAACACTGCTTTCTCTTTTTTTTGTAGCTCATTGTCTCAAATACCTCGGCCTCCACGAAGTGAGAAGAAGCTCCCCAGCGCAGCGTCAGTGTCAATGGCTGGATTACGGAGATTGTCGGATATTCCGGCGGCGGCGGTGGCTTCGGAGGAACTTGCGAAGCGAGGTAAGCTTTTCCATGTTTGTACTTAGCTGCATTGGTAATCGTTTTCGTGTCTTTGGAGTTGGCAGGTTCCAAGCCGAGCTCTATTCGACAGTCGGGGATTCTGATCCAAAATGGCGCTGGCGTTGGGAAGCTGTCAAAGAGGTGGGTTTGAGTGGCGGTCCGTTGCGTCTTTTGTTTTTGTTCATAGCGGTTTGTTCATAGAGTCCTCATTTTTTCGTTGGTAACGAAGTTTAAAAGTGTGACAAAGGCTTGTGGAAGTTCCTCCGGGACTGGGAAGACTTGAAGAGGCTCAGCCACGATGATTACATCAGGACTAGTACCAATCCCCAACAAGTTCACACTGCAGGGTGCCGAAGCTCTTCTGGCTGGAAGATTGGAGTTTGGAGTTTCTCTTGAGGTGCTATTCGGATTTGAGTTATGGCAAGGGGCACGAAACACGCTACGTTTATGGTGGTGACCTTGCTTGCCAAGACCTGTTCATTCTGTTGACAAAGCAGTGAATTGGATAGTTCGGTAGCTTGGCTGACAAAAAATATCACAAATATATTGCTATTAAATTATATTAAAAGTTATATTTTTTTATTTTACATTGTATAGTTATGGTGCTATATATTAATATTAGTGTAATGGGATTTTGATAGCAGTTGGATTGGTTTTAATCTGTATCATAGTTATATAAGTAACATTTTGAATGCATGAAATATGAAAGTAGAATATAAAAATAAAACCTTAGTTTATATATAAAAGTGAAAAAGAGTTCATTATTTCTTTTAACATTTTGTTATTTATTTAGCATCTGAGATAAACTATACCATTTTATGAAATAGTTTAAGATAATAATATCTAAGGTTTTCAATGTAAAAGTTAAAATAATATTGTAAAAGTTTTTAAAGTTTTGTGATTCTAAAATATTTTTGTTTTTTTCTGTTTTTTGCATAAAACATAAAATATAAACAGGAAAACTTCTTCCTTTATTTTATAGGAGTAATTTTATAGGAGGAATCACTGTGACGATTTGCACAGCCGAAATTTGGCAAAAGCATACGGGTACTGCCGCTGATAAAAATTTCGGAAGGAATCCCGCAGCAGTGAGACATGTGTTGCTGGAGATGACCCCTTGAGGACGTAGTGCAAGCCGTCAAAGAAGTCCGTCGAATACTCCGGGTACTCTTCCATGCTCGTGAACCCTTCAAACGGTGCTAGTAGCGAACTCGTCCACTCCCATCCTCCATCCTTCAAATGCTTCACCCTCTGCTCCTCCCTCGCAAACTCCTCGTCCAAAACTCGCTGATACTCAGCCTCGGTCATCACTCTGGAACACATCCACTTGGAAAAAGCCTCGGCCTCCATCAGGCTCACGTAAACAGGCTGGTGACGAGCTTCGATCCAGGAGAGCGTCTTGTATGGAAAGTGTACGTAATAGTCCCCCTGGGAGCAGGACCAAGTTGCAGGAAACTTGTGACCACTCCTCTCCAGGAACGTAAAATCGTCTTCCTGCCAGAGTTCTCTCTTGTTGTAGCACCCGTCCTGGACGAAGACCATAAACTCCCCGATCGAAACTGGCATGGAACTGATGCAGAAGTCGTGCTCCACTTGAGTCTTGTAAGACGGCTCCTCGTTGTCGAAGCGGAAGACTCCGGGAATTGGATCGCTTCCCAGCACGACGGAGCCTCTGGAGACGAAGACGTCGGTAGCTGCCGGCTTTGAAGTCCCGTTCCCGTCCGCGAGCCCGAGCTCGTGAGGAGGAATGAGAAGAGGAGCTTCGAACTGGAGCTTGCGTTCCTGGGCTAGCATGTAGGCCATGGTTTCCTGATGCATTCGCTCGTGCTCGAGGACGAGGCAGAGGCATCGCACGTCCGGGTTGCCGTCTCTCAGGTACTCCAGGACTCGGGCTCGGCCATCCATGGTATATTTCCTGAGCGTCTCCTTGTCCGGCCACTGGGCTGGAGTTTCCGGATGCTTGTGACAGCGGCTGGGGTCCAACATGCAGGGATCTATTCCGCGCGAGAAGACAAGGTTGAGACCCGTGTCCGGCTCATCCTTGAGCAGCTTGATGATGGTGAAAGCTGTTACGTGGCCACTGCAACACCAAAAGCATTTGTCAACCAAAAATCACTCACGACTCGCCACTTACTAGTAGAAACAATATGGGTGACGATATGAGATCGGTTGGGACATCCAATCACCGACGCCTTTGAACAGCTTGTCTGTGTCCGTCCAACACCTGATTGCGGCCTCCTCACAAGAAAGCATCATAAAGCAGCCATAGCTTTTCGACGTCCACCTGGCGTGGCAAACAAAGCCGAGCTGACTGACGAGCTGCAATACGTCCTCTACTGTAAACTTTCTCGAGATCTCGACCAGGACTCTCTCGTTTTTACTGCCAAGGAAGAAAACAAAAATGGAAAAAGAGAACGACGACACATGTCAACTTAGCGAGTGTCGAGTTGCGAACCTTATTTCGATGTCGTGATCGACTAGACAGAGTGATCGGAGAAAACGAACGTACATCTCAACTTGGCGGGACATGCTATTGATCTGTACCTCGTATTCCCAATCTTCGTGAACCTCGTCATCAGATACGGAATGCCCGAGAAGCTCCAGCCCGTGCTTCATGCCATTTTTTATAAAACTTCCAGTAACGCCTTGCTTATCCTCGTAAGCTGCTCGCAGAGTGGCCTCATCTTTCCACAGGTCTGGACAAATGGAGAAAACGTACCGTGATCAAATTAGAGAAGAGAGAGAGATACTCACCGACGCAGAGAAAAAACTGGCACCGGGACCCAACTATCTTGAGCATTCGACCAACGAAGTCACCGCTTTCGGATTGCGAGAGGTTCCCGATGCTACTTCCAAGCCAGAGGATGCAAATGAGTCTGTCTGGATACTTCTCTCGAACCATCTCCAGCCCTTCCAAGTAATCGGCATGAACAAGCTCCAGCTCGAGATCATCGCTCTTTTCCATTGAAGACTCGGCCTCGTCCAGCGCAGTCCGGGAGACATCGATACCAACGTAATGGCACCTGGAGAAGCAAGCACAAAAGCCAAGGACGATCAAGAACAGCAAGAAGAAAAAGATAGGAACGTTACAAAGAACACAAAGAAACCTCAGACCTCTGATGCTTGGAGAGGATCGCATTGAGGAGAAGAGCGGTCTTGTCAGCAACACCACATCCCAATTCGACAATCAAGCTGCCGGGGGCAATCTGTCCAGCAATGTCGAGTGCATGCTTCTGGAACAAAGCCTTCTCAGCCTCGAAAGGGTAGTAGCTCTTCAGCTCCGTGATCTTCTTGTAGAGCTCCGAGCCCCTGTGATCGTAGAGCAGATGGAAGGGAATTTGTTTGCGTTCGCTCCGCCGCAAACCATCTACGATACTGCTCACGTTGGCCATGAAGCGATCCAAACTCCGCGAAAACTTTCAAACTGCGAAGCTTAAAATCCCCAATCGTAGCCCCGGTGGTGCCGTGGCAGCTTCTAATTTGGAACAAGTGGTTGCTGGCCAGTCATGCATGGCCATGGAATCGTGGAGGGCTCTGTTATGTACATGACACCGGCCTTTCAGTTTTTCGGAAGTTGAACGCTACCTATGATTTTGAAAAGGAAATTCCTGAGCAAGGAATATAGAACCTTCTAGAGATTGATTGCTTACTTGTCTCTTGTTCGTAACCATGGACAGAAGAACGCACTGATTGCTGTTTCATCCCGGAGAAGGACGCTTTTTTAAAAGAAGAAGCAAAAAACATGATGTTAGCTTACTTGCTCGAGAGGAATGACTTTTAGGCGAAATTGATAACAAAGGTTTTGGCATTGTCGATTGATGAATGAGTTCCTGGAAGATCATCCAGCAAGAAGACATTTTAACAAAAAACTCCACTAAGTCCCACTTACCAGAACACTTAAAAGGAATTGCAAGTCATATCTTCCACGAGTTCTTCGTGGGGCCATTGATCTAAAATGGCCGCTATGTCGATTGATAAATGAGTTCCTGGAAGATCATCCAGCAAGAAGACATTTTAACAAAGAACTCCACTAAGTCCCACTTACCAAAACACTTAAAAGGAATTGCAAGTCATATCTTCCATGAGTTGTTCATGGGGGCATTGATCTAAAATGGCTGCTAGGGAATCAAGGACGACCATCTTGTGAAGAACGCACTGATTCCTGTTTCACACTTGTGTAAAAAGAAAAAAGAACAACACCTATGGACATGCAGATCCCCAATGTTTCCTTGTGGATCTTCATGCTACGCATTTGAAGATTATTCTACAGTGGAAGTGATTGCAGCCTTCCTGGAGATGATGATCTTCAAAGAAGAAGATAGTGGTCATCGTTGATCCGACCATTTTTCGATCAATGTGCCAGTGAAGAACTCGTGGAAAATATGATTTGCAATTCTTCTAAGCTTTCTGGTAAGTGCGAGTCTGCCGTGGAAATTCTTGTTTAAGATGGTGTTCTTGCTAGATGATCTTTCATTCATCAATCAACAGTTTTCGTTTGGAAGAAGTCGTTCCTTTCGTCTGATGACAAGCAAGTAAGAAATCACTCATCAATCCAGTGGAAAACTGAGACACATTGCGACGATCAGTGGAGGAAAGGGAAAGAGCTACCAGGAATTCGCGAAAAAAATCGTTTTCGTGTCCGTGTCCAATGCGCTGAGCAGCATTCTCGCGAACACAATTAATATCTCTGGATCGCAAGAACAATGTGAAATATCGATCTAGCCAAGAAGACTCACCAAAATATCGCTCCAGATCGATAGTACAGTGCCGCCATCGAGCGCCGACGACACGCTGCAAACCAAAGAAAAAAATTAACAAGGTTTTAGGGCTAGGGTTCTTCGTAGCGATGGCTTCCACGAGCAACAAGGCGAGGAAATTTGGTACGCCGCTCTTCTGCGCGGCCTGGGCGAGCGCCGACAGCACAGATGCATCCGTCGCGCATGGGATCTCGTATGCGATCTGCGGCGGCGGAGGTGGAGATTCGTCCTCTGGCTTGCGCAACACTCTGGTTCTCGCTCGATACGATGCCGATTCCAGAGAGCTCAGTGAGCCGGTTAGTAGCTCCTCAGATCGATCCAAAATTTGTGACATTTTCTCTTAGCTCTTTGCTTCGTCTGTGTAGCTCGATACGCTCTTCACGGACGATGATACGGCCTGCGCCATGGCTATGCATCCCAATCGAAAGGAGTTTATCTGCTCGTTTCCAGCGACCGAGAGGTACTTTGCTCGCTCTTCTTCGTTTAGTTCTTAGAGAGTTTTTAGCGTTTCCTGGAGTTTTTCCTTGCTACTGAGCTTAATTCACGTTTTTCTCCTTTGAAGGCATAATGGAAAGTTGAGGCTTCTGAGGCTGACTGGTGGAAAGAACTTGCGATTAGAAAATGTCGAGCGGGAGCTGAAGCCATTGCAAGATCTAGGCGAGCAGCGAACCGTGAAGTTTAGTGCCGATGGGAAATTGTTTGCGGTGGGGGGTCAGGTAAGAAGCTGCTAAGCTTTGAACTGAAGGATTCTAAGTCGAACTTGTACAGGATGGACACTTAAAAGTTCTCAAGTGGCCGTCTCTGGAAGTTGTTCTCGATAGATCTGATGCGCACCGATCGATCAAGGACTTGGATTTCAGGTAAGGTTTTGGTCGATTGTCTTTGTAGCTGCTTAGCTCTTTTTCTCTGTGTTATGTGTTTCAGCTTGGATGGCTCGTTTTTAGCAGCTACCGATGACGTTGGTCCGTCCCGCATCTGGGATTTGAAAACGGCATCTCCTGCTGCTGCGCTTCCTCTAAACAAAGCTGGATTCTGCTGCTTCTCCAGAGACGGAGCGAGGCCTTGCCTTTACGTTACTTCAGCTGAAGGTGGCTTTTCTATTTCATAAGCTTTTCTTGTTTCCTCGTTGCTCTCTGGTTGATAGAGCTCGAATTTCTGTTCAGGGCAGATTTCAAAGGCTACATAACAACCTGGAATACGAAGTGGAAAAAAGTTGGATCGAGGAAACTAGCGAATGAACCCATATCAGCTCTGACGATCAGTCCCGACGGGAAGCTCTTGGCAATGTAACGTTGTTTCAAGCTTCTTCAGTACTGCTAATGTTTTTGTTCCTGTTTTCTTTTGCAGTGGAAGCTCCGAAGGTGAGGTGTTTATCCTGAGCGCGAGCAAGCTGAGCGTTCTACAGCGGATCAAGCGTGCACATATGGTCTTCGTCACGGCATTGGATTTCTCTCCCGATAACAGGTATCCCTCTTGTTTTTGCTTTCTTTCTATCAAGTTTTCTTCTTCTCAGGGCTTTACTCTCGGTTTCTGGAGACTCGAGTGCTCGCGTAACACCTTGTCAAACACCACAAGGTCTGCTCTTGTTCTTCTAGCTCTTCGATTATGGGATAATCTCTTTTTTTCTGTTCTTTCAGGCTGGAGGACTGTTGTGATTCTGTGGATCATTCTCATCGCGTTGCTCTTGGCTTTGATTCTCAGCCGGCGAGGCTCTCTCGAGTTTTTCCCAAGCGCTTCAACGCATTCGTCCGAGCACGATATGATATAGTCGAGTGATCTTAAGAACAAGGATCACACACTGTACGGTAAATAATGGTTGTGTCCTTGGATCCCATTTGTCTGGGCCATGTGGCTCAAATAAAACGACCACGTTCTTATTTCTCTTGCCCTAAATTTTCAAATTCGAGCTCGCGCCAAAATGGCGAAGGTAGGCTATGGCGTCCATTCCATGGCGGAGTTTTCATGACAGCTTTCAGGCATTTGCAAAGATTCTGGGGCACGAGCACTCGCATCACGCGCTCGGCGGCGGCGAAGTAGACGCCATTCTCAAGCTCGTCACGGATGATTCAGGTTCTTTTCTTTTGCTCGTGGATTTCTCGAATTTCCTCTCTCGCCAGTGCAGATCATCACAAGGGTTTGTTTCACTGGGGAAGATCTGAGAGGCCGCCTCTTCCTCTCGTGACGGAGCATAGGTATTTTGCGTTCTGGAAAGCACTGAGCCAGCCCAATGCCGCCACAGACTATCTGGAAGCTCTCTTCAAAAGGGTCGCCGAGCTGGAGCCGGATGAAAGGGCTGGTGATGGCCAACGCATTGGAAAGAGGCGTACTTCGCGAAGATCGTGGACGTATGGCCTACAGTATCGCACAAGTGAGGGAAAGTTAGTCTCTCCTGGCTCTCCTCAGCTCACAAGATCGTTTAGAACGCCGCCTCAAAGACCACCATCTTTCGGTCAGTAAGAGACTTCGATTGTCTCATTGTTTCACTTTTTTTTTTCTTCTGACTGTGTGTCACTTCGTTTTTTTTTTCAGAGATCAAAGACAACGGAATGGCTGCTTTGTTAAACACAGCTCTACTGCTAGCTTTGTTCCAGGATGTTGATTTTGAAAAGCCGGGGATCGTCGAAGCGATAGATTATGTTCCCGAGCATTTGGAGAGCGCGGCAGAAAGCTGGAGACACACAGTGAGTTTAGAGGTCGAGGTTTTTTATCTCAATGTTTTTTTTTCTCTTTGTCCAGGTTACACACATATTGAAGTTGCTGAAAACGAGCCGCACGAAAAGTATTTCTACAATACTTGCTTTGTGTGCTGCTTTTATGTCAAGTAGCATGTGTGCTTCCGACAACAGCTTGATTGGTAAGCTCTTTTTCTTTCTTTTTTTTCTGCCAAGTTTTTTCTGAAAGCCTTGCACATCACAGCTTCCGGATGGATTTACCTGTGGTTGCAAGATCATGCATTGCGTGGCCGCGCTAAAAAGTTGCATAAAGCCTTGTTTAAGTGCCTGGAAATAATTGCAATTGACAAGACCACTATAGTGACCCCTGCTCACGAGCTTCAAGTCTTGTGCTTACTGTTTGTGCTCCGCCAAGTCCTGTCTCTGGTTCGTCAACTCTTCCTCATCGTTGGTCTGCTTGCATCTAGTTTTTGCGCTTTACGTTTTTGAGATTTATCGTTTTTATATAGCAGTGCTGACAGACGCTGGTTCCTGAAGAGCCGCTGAAGAAGCTGGAAGACGTCGTCCAGTGTTTCACGTTCTGGTCATATCCAGTGGGATACCATGCCTTACAGACGCTGAATAGCATTTTTCTGGAAAAGAAAGCTCCTGGTAAGTTTTTGGTTTCCTGGATAGTTTTTTTTGTCAAATTCAAAAAGCGTGTTGCAGGTCATGCCATGAACAAACGGTGCTTGTTAAATGACATCCGACTCTCCTCGCAGTCTGGAGGGAGCCGCTCGAATACTGAGTCAAGGGGCCGTATTTATCTGCTTCTCAATCCTCAAAGCGCTAGAAGCTTCGCCCTGCAGAGCTTGGTGGACTGCAAGAGAGCAGAAACTCTAAGTTCGGACGATGACGCTGCTAGGCTGCACTTCTTGAAAGTTCTTCAAGTGTGCCAGATGCTGAAAACTTCTGGTGTTCACGTCAAGGAGATGGTCGTGTGCAAGCTGCCGGTTTCTACGATATCAACGCTTCATGACCGGCTTATAGAAGTTCAAGAAGAAGCCAGCCAAATGGAAGTAGAGAACGCAGTAAAGCACAGAAGGCAGACGATGGCGGATGCGTGGAATGAAATCGTTCAAGCCTGTAAATCGGGACAGATCTCCGCAGCGACTATGAGCTGGAAAGAAGAAGTTGGCGATTTTACAGCCGCCAGGTAAAACTTAACATTTTCAATCTCTCTCAAATAATCCTGTTTTGTGCTGTTGTTTTTTTCTCAGGCTTCTCCCTCTCGAGTTTTTCATATTACATACTGAGCCAAAATGGAGGCCTAATCCTCTCGAAGTACACGAGACGTCCGATGCACCAGGTCCAATGCCAGCGCAGTATTCTCGATCAGCAGTGGAAATAGCAATCAGAGAAGCTTTGGATACAAGTCCCTTCGGCAGCAAAGGAAAGTCTTTGCAGTCAGTCAGAAGCACCTCAGAGGTCGTGAGAATTCTAGTCGGAGGTGGCGACGGAACCATACACTCCACGCTTCTTGGATACGTCAACTTGGTAGTAGCAGGTGTTCTAGCAGGAGGACAGCAAACAACAAGCTCGGCACAGATGCTCGACGTTCTCTTTTGCATCCTGCCTGCCGGGAGATCCAACCTCTTGGCAACGTACATTGCTCAGCGCGACTTGTGGTACGATGCTATGATCTACAGAGCCATCAAGAGCAAGCTTCCAGTCGTTCCTCATGTCTCTGAAAGCGAGCACAAATTTCTGGCTCAACTTCCAGAGAAAAGCAGCAGTAGCAGCAACTTAGTTCACAGGTCGGAAGCGCTTCCAAGCTCGATGCTCACTCGACAGATCGAAAACTACGTCCTGGAAGCTGGCTGCGTTCTAAAGCTCACGGTCTTCAACTGCGAGGCCTGGTACAGGGACGACAAAGGCAACAAGTTCCTCACCACGATACCATTTTGCACGCGAGCTGAGATTGGAGTTCCAGCAGTGGCAGTCTCGTCCGAGTCCCACAAGAAGGTGCTCCACCACCAGTGCGTTCCCCGCAGCCCAGCCAAAGACCACTTGGAGGACGCCGACCGGCTCGAGGACCTCGTCTCGAGCTACACACTCAAAGCCCGACTTAGATACCGGCCAGCCGGCTTGGACGGGTCCGAGAGAGGCGAGCGGAACATCCCACTCTCGCTGGTAGCGCTCATGGCGATCAACGTTCCAAAGCCGGCGGAGAGGCGCCTCGACTGTAACCCGAGCGACGAGGTGCTCAACGTTTGCGTGCTCCAGGCCGCGGACTCCAAGAGGAGGAGGCTGCGAGCGCTGGAGGAGCTCATGGGCGATATGTGTACGCTCCGGACGAGGAAGCTGGTCGTGGAGGCTGGGGAGCCCGGCAAAGCCTTCGACGTGGTGCTGGATGGCGAGGTCTATGGCCCGTTCTATCGCGTCCGGCTTGGCCCGTGCTACCATCCTTTCAACCGCGACGCCGCCATCAAGTTCTCTCTGACTACGTTCTGGCCAACGCACATCTCCAGGCAAACTTCGTGAGAGAACAACTCATACTTTCATGAGAAACTCTTGTGTTCGTATGGAGTACGTACGCACGTACGATAATTCCCGTACCAAGACGGTTCTAAGTACGGACACGAATATTTATGTACGGACATTTTCGTGTACGAAAAGAAACCTAGGACGCGTATCGTCCGTTGGATTCCGATCCGACGGTGGTAAGCTCGGCCCTAATACCGTGGCGGCATGCTAGGGTTTTTAGAAGTGTAGGGTTCTTCAGCGGCTTCGCGAGCCGGCTTGCGCATTGCGGTAAGATTTCGCCTCGTCGCTATTCTGGGAGTGCTTTCTCACGCGGATTTAGCTCTTGTTTGGCCAGAATCATGGGTAAGGAGAAGGCTCACATCAACATCGTGGTCATTGGACATGTCGACTCCGGCAAGTCCACTACCACGGGGCATCTCATCTACAAGCTGGGAGGAATCGACAAGCGAACGATCGAGAGGTTCGAGAAGGAGGCGGCCGAGATGAACAAGCGGTCGTTCAAGTACGCCTGGGTGCTGGACAAGCTCAAGGCCGAGCGCGAGCGTGGAATCACCATCGATATTGCGCTGTGGAAGTTCGAGACCAACAAGTACTACTGCACCGTCATCGACGCTCCCGGTCACCGTGATTTCATCAAGAACATGATCACGGGAACTTCCCAGGTGAGTTTCCACACTGTTGGTTTTGTGTGCTAATTTTTCTATTTGTGTTTGTGAAAGGCTGACTGCGCTGTTCTCATCATCGATTCCACCACTGGAGGTTTTGAGGCTGGTATCTCCAAAGACGGTCAGACCCGTGAGCACGCTCTTCTCGCTTTTACTCTTGGAGTGAGGCAGATGATCTGCTGCTGTAACAAGGTATGGTTTTATATTCATAGCTGGGTATGTCTCATGGATTATTCTGTGTTGCTTAGATGGACGCTACCACCCCCAAGTACTCCAAGGCGAGGTACGAAGAAATCGTCAAGGAGGTGTCGTCCTACCTCAAGAAGGTCGGCTACAACCCTGACAAGATCCCCTTCGTTCCCATCTCCGGTTTCGAGGGTGACAACATGATCGAGAGGTCGACGAACCTCGACTGGTACAAGGGCCCGACTCTTCTCGAGGCTTTGGACCAGGTGACCGAGCCCAAGAGGCCATCAGACAAGCCCCTCCGCCTCCCACTCCAGGACGTTTACAAGATCGGAGGAATTGGAACCGTCCCCGTGGGACGAGTGGAGACCGGAGTCCTGAAGCCCGGTATGGTGGTGACTTTCGGCCCAACCGGACTGACGACTGAGGTGAAGTCCGTGGAGATGCACCACGAGTCCCTTGTGGAGGCACTCCCTGGTGACAACGTCGGGTTCAACGTGAAGAACGTCGCGGTGAAGGATCTCAAGCGTGGTTTCGTGGCGTCCGACTCGAAGAACGACCCGGCCAAGGAGGCTGCCAGCTTCACTGCCCAGGTGATCATCATGAACCACCCGGGACAGATTGGAAACGGCTACACCCCGGTGCTCGACTGCCACACCTCTCACATCGCCGTCAAATTCGCCGAGCTCCTGACCAAGGTGGACAGGCGATCCGGAAAGGAGCTGGAGCAAGAGCCCAAGTTCCTGAAGAATGGTGACGCTGGTTTCGTGAAGATGCTGCCGACCAAGCCCATGGTTGTGGAGACGTTCGCGGAGTATCCTCCATTGGGACGCTTTGCGGTGCGTGACATGAGGCAGACGGTGGCAGTGGGAGTGATCAAAGCCGTGGAGAAGAAGGAACCCACCGGTGCCAAGGTGACCAAGGCGGCCGCCAAGAAGAAGTAGAGGGGGAGAAGTTCTAATGCCGTACCACCGAGTTATTTCACCGTACAACTATTTGGACGTCCTCGTTTTGTCGGAGTTTTCTTTTTTGTTGTGGATCTTCCAGTTAGCAGTTTTGTAGGAACGCTGTTTGCATTCTTCTTTCCTATTATTTATTTGAATATTAGGTTATTTTAGTATTTTTGAAAGTCCCGCCAAATCTAGAGGCAGCGGTAGTTTTGTTAACACGCTACGCACGACCTCGTTTCATTATGTCTGTACGCGCAGCTTTGTCAGAGCGATCGTTCTTGTTCTTGCGGAGTGATAGGAAGGAGGGGTGATTATTTCGATCGATCGATCGAAATATTTCGAGGCTCGAGCTCCCGGATTGATCGACGGCGCCATCGCAGTAGCAGCGGCGCGTGCTCCTCTCCTCCAGCGATCGAGCGATGGATTCGTGCGAGGCGGCTCAGATCGTGTTCGCCAGGGTCAAGGCGATCGATGGGGAGAATGTGAATCGAGTGATGGGGTATCTGCTGCTCAAGAACTCGGATATGTTTAGCCTCGCCTTTAGCACGGATCCGGAGCTCAAATCGACCGTCGCCAAGGCCAAGAAGGAGCTCTTCTGCAACGAGAATCATCTGGCAACGATCGGTGGCATCGGCGAGTTCGGTGGATCATCGGCTACCAAGGCCAATGGTTCCAGAAGCAAAGCTCCAGCCAAGATCGCGGTTCCGGCGCCCGACGAGGATCCCCCCAAGCCATGCATGTATTTTGCCAAGGGATTTTGCAAGAACGGGAGCAGCTGCCGCTTCATCCACGATTCCGCGCTGCTCCAGTCGGATTCCCCGCCGAAAGATCAGTTCTTGTCGATGGAGCGCCTGGAATTCCAGCTCCAGGAGCTCTTGCGCTCGCGCAAAGGCGTTCCCATCTCCGTCTCCTCGCTGCCGCAGATTTACTTCGAGAAGTATGGGCGCTGGCTGGAAGCCGATGGCTATGTCTCCGAGAGCCAGCGCCACGCGAAGCCGAGCTACACCCTCACAAAGCTTCTTAGCAAGTTCCAGAGCGTCACCGTCGTCGAGAGGTATGCTTCTTTCTTCGATCGTAGCTTAGTTTTCACAGTTTTCATCCATTCCTTCTCGATTCTTCGCATTTCTTGTTAGCGCCATTTCTGCTTCGAGGTATGCTTCTTTCTCTAATCGTAGCTTAGTTTTCATCCAGTCCTTCTCGATTCTTCGCAATTTCTTGTTTGCTTGGGGCATTTTCTTCTTCCTCCTTTGCGAGCGTCAATCTCTATCGCTTCTTTCTTTCCTTTCCCAGGCCCCATCGGCAGCACGCTCTCATGCTCGCGGAGGATGTTCCAAAATACAGCGCTCACAAGGTGGATCTGGACGAATGTAACGATCCAAGCCCTTGCTCCAGACAAATCTATCTCACGTTTCCATGCGATAGCAATTTCTCCGAGGAGGACGTCGCGACACACTTCCGGTACGTTGTCTTTAATTCCTTCGTTACAAGAGGAGCGATACGAAACTTTACCGTGCAGAGCTTACGGTCCCGTGGAAGACGTGAGAATTCCAACCCAGCACAAGCGAATGTTTGGGTTTGTGACGTTCACGTACGCTGAGACGGTGAGGATGATTCTGGCCGAAGGAAATCCTCACCATGTCTGTGGTGCGCGGGTGCTCGTCAAACCATACCGCGAGAAATCCAAGCCTATGAACAAGTACGTAAATTCTCCTGTTGAAATTGTCTCTTCTCCAGCTCGAACCTAATGAAACTTGACTTCACAGGAAGCAGATGGAGAAACTGCTTCATCCAGCCAAGGAAGAAGCTAAACGTTAAGTATTTGTTTTCTTTTGGCTCAAGGACTGATATGTGACCGTGCACTCTGTGATCCAGCTCCGAGCATTATAGGCAGTGATGCGGATCGGAGACTCGAGGAAGAAAAAAAGGCTATGAAGAAGCTTGAGATGCTAATGGCCGAGGTCCGAGCCAAAACTCGTGCCAAATTGGAGGCGCAAGCCGTTTCCGATCTACTTTCACCCGAGAATACTACGAAGCAGTTCTTTAATGATCCGGACTTGGCGGTACCACTGCGAGAGCTCAAAGTGTTCCCTCGAGGTTTGATTGGCAGCTTCTTTCTGGTGTTAGTTCGTAATATTTTTGTTCTTCTGTGTTTAGGAGGGGGATACCTGACTAAACCGCTCTCACCGGACTTTCCTCTCGATTATACCCGTGACTGGTACAAGAATTTATATGTACTGTGAACGTTTACTCAGATCAGATGATTCTGTTTGACAGCGATCCAGAAGTGATGAAGAAGCGTTTCCTGGAATCTCAGCTTCGAAACAGTTTGGGATTGCCTCCGAATTCATCGTTGATTGCGAATGGACAGTACGACGCTTCTGGCAACTGCTGCATCTGCTTTCGTAAGTGTAAAAAGTTACTCCGCTTTATTACCGGTCCCAACGTTTCACTTTTTGTTTTTCACTTTACAGGTCTCGTCGTGGATCCCATTCGCCTGGAATGCAACCATGCGTTTTGCGAGCAGTGTGTTCTCAGGGTTCGTTTATTATCTCTTGCCTTTTTCCCTCGAAACTCTCGAGTAACTTTGGGATGTTTGTGCCAGATCCTCCAGGGTGCCCCGAGTGACGAGTGCCCGATTTGCAGCTGGAACGCAGAGACTCAAACCTACAACAGGATGATACACAAGGAAGAGATGGAATCGTGGCTGCCTCCGCCCCAGCACCAGCAGCCAATCTGGTGATCTAAGGCAAGGTTCTTCCAAACTCTCAGCACATTTTAGCAACTTACTGGCGAGCGAAAGCATTTTGGAGAGAGATCTCTCAAAACGTTACAGGAACCAATTACTCATCACCCACTCCAGTTACAGCACATACGGAAAGAGAAATCTAAACGAAAGTTATATATAGATCGATCTCTACTTCTGCGTGATATAATTTGCACCGTGCCATCACGCCTCCAAGTGAAGAACAGGAAGAACATCGTGATCGTCATATTCTTCCAAAGAAAACTAGCACGACCAATCTAAACAAATTTCTATCGTTCCATCTATCATGCGATGCATTGAATGAACTCGAAAGAAAAGCATCGTAAAAAGAATAAGCACATCAACATCCTCAGTTGCCATCTAGCTGTTAAGAAAGAAATGCGCTCCAACCTTTGGTCGCTTTCAGAGCATATTCCAACAGTGGCAACGAATATTCCCGGCTTCGAAGCTCTGGGTGCCGCAGGGTTAGGGCTGGAGCCGTGGCGCGCGAGGAGGTGCCGCTGTTCTTCCTCCCCGGTATGGATTGTGGAGCTGGCTTGGATCTAGGATGCAATGTAGGTCGCGATTCGGCTTAGAATCCGCCGAAATTCCCGAGCTGGGGGTGTGTTCTTCGATCGGCAATGAGGAGCAGGCACTAGATTCAAGCGGATGGGGCCCCGGCACGCGCCCAGGGGCCCCATTTTCTCCAGTGTTGTGGGCTCATGATTTCTGGAGCTGGGAGAAGATGAGGTGAAAATCTGGCTGGAAGGCAGCAGCTCGGGGCGATGGGAAGGATAATGCTGGCGCTCGTCGTGGGAATTCTCGTCTTGTCGAGCTCCTGGCGGGCGGATTCCTTGGCGGACGATGCCTCGGCGCTGCTGAAATTTCGGGATGGGGTCACTGGCGATCCAGGGGGGCTGATCAGGAGCAGCTGGGTTGCCAACAGGGTGGATCCGTCGGGCTGCCCCTCGCAGTGGCACGGGGTAGTGTGCTCCAATGGCAGCGTCACTGGTTTGGCACTGGGCGATCTCCAGCTCCAGGGAGAAATCTCTCCTGGAACGATCGGCAGGCTGTCCAGGCTCACGTCGCTGCTTCTCGGCAACAATTCTCTGGGTGGAAAGCTTCCAGAGGATCTGGGCGAGCTCCATGCTCTCCAGTTTTTGGATCTGTCGGCCAACCAGTTCGTGGGATCCATCCCGAGCTCCTTTGCCGGCCTGCGCAGCGTGGTAAACTTTTCTCTCTCGTCAAACAAGCTCGAGGGGCCGGTCCCGGATATGTTTGCGAGCATGGTCCGGCTCGGAGATCTCGACTTAAGCGGCAATTCGCTCTCGGGTGGCATCCCTCCATCGATCACTTCGTTGCGGCAGCTTGTCTCGCTCAACCTCTCGTGGAACGCGTTTAGCGGTGTGATCCCGAGAGAGATGAGCAGCTTGGAAAGCTTGCACCGGCTGGATCTTCGCCAGAACAGGCTCTCCGGAGAGGTGGATCCCGTGCTCATGGGTCTCAGCCGCATGGAAGTGATCGACATGAGCTGCAACGAGCTCTCGGGGTTGCTCCCGTGGCAGCAGGGTGCTCCATTTGTTTTCCCGCAAGGCATCAGCTCGGTAAATCTCAGCTCCAACAGGTTTACTGGCGAGCTGGCTCCCGAGAACGCGGCGAGCTTGTTTGCGAGCGAGCTGCAAATCCTGGACGTGAGCAGCAACTTGTTGTCGGGGAAGCTTCCGTCGTTTTCGTTTGTCTTCTCGCTACGTGTCTTGAGACTCCAGAACAATTCCTTCGTGGGATATGTACCTCCGGCGCTTCTCGCCACGGAATCTGTGCTGGAGGAGCTTGACATCAGCTTCAACAATCTTTCCGGTAAGTGTTTACGTTGTTTGCTTCTCTTCTGTCGTTTATATTTCTCACTCTTCTCTTTCTTGCAGGTACTATTGGAATGGTGGCAGCCACCAGTCTATCGATCTTAAGGCTAGCGTCGAATAACCTCTCGGGTACTTTGCCGATAAGACTGGGAAGCTGCGCCATAGTAGACTTCAGCAACAATAATTTTTCCGGGAACTTGGACGTGATCAAAGACTGGAGGGACAGCTTACAGGTTCTCGACCTCAGCGGCAACTCTTTTGACGGCGTTCTCTCCAACGAAACAGCACACCTCCTCCGACTAATGTACCTCAACGTATCTCACAACGCCTTGTCTGGTCCTATTCCCGGTACTCTCGCATCCCTCCGCAAACTGACCGCGTTAGACCTCAGCTCCAACAATCTCGATGGTGAAATCCCTGGTGATTTTTTTCATTCCCCGTCTCTAACCATTTTCAGAGTCGCAAACAATAATCTCGTGGGTGGGATTCCAGTCGTGAGCTTCCTTTCCTCTTCCGCCATCCCCGGTGAGCTCTTGTCGCCCACCTCCATCTCTTCCACTCCCCCAGCGGTTTTGTTCTCCCCGTTACAAGTCCTTGACTTATCTTTCAACAGTCTCAATGGTTCCATCCCCCAAGAAATTGCTTCTCTTTCGGGACTAGTCGTCCTTAACCTGGGAGGAAACGACTTCACTGGAGGCATTCCCAGTCAGCTCTCACGGTTGAGGTACTTGGAGAATTTGGATCTTTCATCTAACCATCTTCGTGGCCGGATTCCAGCACAGCTTCCATCTTCATTACAGACATTGAACCTGACAAACAACGACTTGTCGGGACATATACCAGCAAACTTGCTATCAAGATTTCCACTGTCGTCTTTTTTCCCGGGCAATGCCGGACTTGTAGTACCTGGAAGCAGCGGGGCTGGAATCCCGTCCTTGCGGTCCAGGCGGGGCAAAGGATTATCATCCGCAGTGAAGGCCGGCTTGATTGGGGGGTGTGTAGCAGCAACAGTCATCATCATTGCGATCGCTCTGTTCGTCTACTCCAGATTGCAAGCAGCTGACAAAAATTCTTCGGATGAACGTGACGTGGTAAAAAGTCCTCACCGGTTGGAGTTCGGGCCTCCATCTGCGGCTAAAGCTGGTGCTTCAGTGAGCTTATCGAGGGAGCAGCTTCTACCTCAACAAGGAAACGTCCCTGGCTCTCCGGAGCAAGGTGACGGACGGGACACCAAGAAGAAACAGGAAGGCTTGCTCACAAGAAAGCGAAGCAAGAGTCGAACAACGCTGCTCGACGAAGGTCCGTCATCACTCGAACGTGCTCCCAGTCAGAAGGCCCGTTCTCCCGATAAGCTGGCTGGAGATCTCTTTCTACTTGACAGTTCGATTGTCTTCACGCCGGAAGAGCTGTCGAGCGCGCCTGCTGAAGTTCTCGGTCGCAGTAGCCATGGTACTTCGTACAAGGCAACGCTCGAAAATGGACACATGCTGGCAGTCAAGTGGCTGCGAGAAGGACTTGCCAAGAACAAAGCAGCATTCACTCGTGAAGCTAGAAAGTTTGGTTCCATTCAACATCCAAACATACTTCCTCTCCGAGGCTATTACTGGGGGCCGAGAGAACACGAGAAGCTCGTCATATCGGACTACCTCAGCTTTGGAAGTTTATCTGATCGACTTACTGGTAAAAGTTCCGCCTTTCCCTTTCTACGCATTTCCTTACCTATCCATTTCTTCTACGCAGAAAGAAGTGGTCGAAGATTTCCACCACTAGAATGGTCACAGCGAGTGCGCATTGCAGTCGATATTACGCGCGGACTTTCGTATCTGCACACCAAGCACAAGCTCCCTCACGGCAACTTGAAAGCTAGCAACGTCCTACTGGATGGATCTTCTCTCGTAGCGCGGCTGTCTGACTACAGCATTCACCGGCTCATGACACCCGCTGGAACAGCCAACCAGATTCTCAACGCGGGAGCGCTGGGATACCGCGCTCCCGAGCTTGCACACGCCAGGAAGCCAAAGCCAACTCTCAAAGCGGACATATACGCCTTCGGTGTGATCCTGATGGAGATTGTCACGGGCAAAGGTGCCGGAGACATCATCTCTGGAAACTCTGGAGCTGTGGACCTCACGGACTGGGTGAAGCTGCTCGTCTCGGAAGGCAGGGGTCCGGAGTGCTACGATCAGGCACTGGTTGGCTATGACAGGGATCAAGAGCCACCGCAGGGGATCGACGATGTTTTGGCTCTGGCGCTAAGTTGCATTTTGGAGCGCTCGGAGAGGCCGAGTATCAAAGTGGTCCAGGAAGATTTGCGTGCTGCTTGTCCAGAGAAAAACTAACAGGACGCTTTTTCTAGTTGTAAGATTTTTATAGATTTGCCATGCTCATTATTTGATGCACATAATAAAATCTTGTTATGTGTTTATTATGTGAGGAAGAAAGTGAACACTAGAGCATGCAAGTGAACATCTAAATGAGAAGAATAATAATCGAACCATTGGAAAACTGAGAGGTCCTGTAGAATGAAGATCTAAATGAGAAAAATGAGATCCAACAAGAAAAAAACATTTGAGAGATCGCCCACATATTGACATTTCTAAACTCCCACAACATTTTAGCTTGTTGAAAGCTTTTGAAATATATAGAAACTTTGCAACAGTATCAAATATTATGGCATTACTTTGGCTGGAGATTTAGTCTCTGTGGCTTGTGTGAGAAAGCGAGGCTCCGTGAGACGCAAGCATTAACCCCATCTGTCATCACAAGTTGCATCGTAATTAATTCTAGATAACTTTTTACCGCAAATTCGTTGTCACAGCTCAAACAATCAGTGAAACTGACGGCAATAAGGATAACTAAATTGTTTTGTGGTCGGCTCAACATTTAACAGTTCATCTCGACGAAACACCACAGAGAGGCGCATGGAACCATCCATCAGCGTTATCTTACTGCTGGCATACCCCAACTCCAAGCAATTCTCCCAGATATCATCGATAGCTTCCTCAAAATCCCTCTCCGTTCCAGCATGGAATCTAGAGACAGTGAGGACCATCAGTAACGGACCCCGTCTGTGGGCGTAAACTCCAGGTATCTGATGCTCAAGAAAGATGTCCGAAACCTCGTAATAGCAAGAGCAGAAATCCTCGTTGTGGATGTATACTCTTGGTTGTGGATCGCACTCCTGCATCACCAAACTCGAGTATGCCAGCGATGAATCAAATGAGCTGAAGATCAAAGCAATAAAAAAAATAAAGAACATCTCTATACATTTGCGAAGAGAAGATTTCAAAGATATATATCACTTTTGTCAACTTTGCTGTGTTGAAAAGTCGAGCAATAAATCGAGGAGTGATCGGTCTTTCCTCCAAAGCTTGAAATGTAAAGCCCCCCGTGGAAGAATCGTCAAGACTTCGTTTCACAAGAAGTTAAAAGGGCCGACTGTTCCAAACTTTGGTTGTGCTCTGATCATTTCTCGTCTCTTCGTGGGCTGGGAAAGGGTCTTCGGATCTACATCTGCGGTCAACGCCTCGAGAGTCGCAGGATCTTCGTCAGGAAGAGCGAATGTGTCGGAAAAGGAGTGAGCTAAACGTCTGGCGGCTTGTTCCAGGAGTCTCTGATGGACACAACTTTGCAACCTGGAGATACCGGGTTTATCACTGGAAGACGTAGTGAAGTGAGTACCTCCATGTAAGATCTCGCTGCGGCTCTACTTCGTAAACCGGTTTCTTATTTGTTTTGCCATTTTTTTATGAAACAAAAAAATAAAAAACTTCTGCCTCCTGAGAATCGAAGCTCCGGAGAATTCCAGCAAAACCGATATTTTCATCGGACCCTGTTGCATCACAGAGTAGCGTCAGGCAATCCAGAAATAAAAACTAAAGTGGAACCTGGAATCCAATTCCTGATTCATGATTCGTGGGTCCTCATGACTTGAAATATTATTATTATATTTCTATTTTGTGACAAAATTGTGGATTCTCACGATCAACAGAGGCGAATGTCGACCAAAAGCCAAAGTTTTCGATTCCAGCAGCTCCTTTCTAGGAATAAATCTGCTGGTCGTGGTGTTGGCTCGTAGAAAGCGCTTGCAAGAGCTTGAATTGTCTCCTGAAACTCGTCCACTAGTAAGAAGCTGGAAGGAAAAGAAAAACTTATGCTCACCCAAGATATGGCACCAGGTAGTCAGTCAGGCAAGGGAACTTTCCTTCGATGTCGGAAGATACGTGGTTTGATCCCCACCTCAAAAATCAATAAAGTTTGGTATCCAGCTGCGTCAGGTTCTATAAATGAAAAGAGTTGAAAATAGCATTGATATTCTACCAGGCAACAGTGTCATCGTTTCCTTGCATCTGTCCAATGTGTTCACCATTCTATAAGCTTCAACAGCTGCAAACGAAAAAACAAACAAAAAGAAGAAGAAATAAAAATCAGAAGAGTGAAGCACAGATGCCACAGTATCTCAAGCTGAAAGAAAACGTAAGTGATAGCGACAAGAGCGCTCCGCTATGCAACTGAATGCCGGTCGTCGATCCCCCGCGGTGGCGTCCCTGTCGTAGCCAACCAGTGCCTGATCGTAGCACTCGGGACCCCTGCCCTCCGAGACGAGCAGCTTCACCCAGTCGGTCCACAGCTCCAGAGTTTCTGGAGATGATGCCTCCGGCACCTTTGCCCGTGACAATCTCCACAGGATCACCCCAGATGTCCGCCTTGAGAGTTGGCTTTGGCTTTCTGGCGTGTGCAAGCTCGGGAGCTCGGTATTCCAGCGCAGAATCTGGTTGGTTCCAGCCGTCATGAACCGGTGGATGCAGTAGCCGGACAGCCGAGCTACGAGAGAGGATCCATCCAGTAGGACGTTGCTGGCTTTCAAGTTGCCGTGGGGAAGTGGTGTGCAGATACGAAAGTATATCGACTGCAATGCGCACTCACTGTGATAGTGGTGGAAATCTTTGACCACTTCTTTCTGCGGAGAAGAAATGGATGTAAGTCGATCAGATAAACTTCTAGAGTATGTTTAGAAGTTGAATGGAACCAAAGTTTCTAGCTTCACGAGTGAACGCTGCTTTGTTCTTGGCGAGTCCTTCTCGCTGTCCATTTGAAGCACCATGGCTACTACGACCGAGAACTTCAGCTCGACAGCTCTTCCGGCTTGAAGACAATCGAATTGTCCGGTAGACAAGAGATCTCCAGCCAGCTTATCGGCCTTCTGACTGGGAGCACATTCGAATGATGACGAGCTTCGTCGAGCAACGTTGTTCGACTCTGGCTTCGCTTTCTTGCAAGCAAGCCTTCCTGTTTCTTCTTGGTGTCCCGTCCGTGGACGTTTCCTTGTTGTGGCAGCTGCTCCCTCGATAAGCTCACTCATGGCTATCATTCCCAAGCTCATGGCTAGAAGGACAGGTGTGAAATGCGGCATGACCGGTACCGCGGTGTGGGACAAATGGGGGCGGAGGATTTCAATCACTGTACTATGGGCCGATGATAACCAGGTTGTCCAGGTGAAGACCGTGGATCACGAAACATTCAAGGCTCCCCAGGTATGTGTTTGTTCTTTTGTTTTCTATTGCTCTTTTTTTCCTGGCTCGTTAGGTGGGGTGTGCCCAGGCAGCTCAGCTTGCCAGAGCTCGGCCATTTCCGTGTACGATTAAGCGAAAGCTTGAAGAGTTTCAAGTCTCGGAATCTTAGATGCGGGACTCCCATTTTGCAGCACGTTGAAGAGCCCTTAACACCAAGACCTCTCCGCATCCCAGCTCGGCCAAAATGATCACTCCACCAAGTGTTTCATGCAATAACCATATTCCACTTGGCCAAACCTTATTACACAAATAGATATCACATATCCCCTCTACCCCGTCCCTATCCTTGACAGTGCCGCCGCCAGCCATGGATTTGGAGACAATCAATCACTCGCTCTCCACATTAATTTTTTTGTATCTTGTTTTGCAAAAAGGACTGTATTAACATTACAGCCGCCAAGGCATGGATAGACACTGAGCGAAAAACAAGCGAGATACTTATATGTGGGACAACACATTATTTGACTCTCAGCATCTTAAGTTGAGGAGACGTTCTGTGGAGTGAAAACTCTAGTAACGCGAGCATGGAAGAACCAGTCAAGCCTAGGATAATTGCACTAATTAAAAACTGGACTTATTGCATTCTTCATTTGATTTACAAAGTTATAAATTGTCTTCTTCTTGGCGTTGTTGATTTCCAACCTGTTTTTAGCAGGTGGTTTTGTCCTTGGATGAGAGTTTTGAGATAGTTTCAAATCTAACGGCGATCACGATAGTCACTTTCTAACTTCCATCACAATCAAGCCATTTAATTGACTCTTGGAATGGAACTGTGGGAGATGCGAAGCTCAGAAATACCAAAATTCGCTGATTATTTAGCGCCATACATGACAAGGTCAACATCATAAGGAACTCTTACTCAAACACAAAGTTTCAAGCAATAGCTTCTTGGCAATGTATGTGATCACCATAGTCACGTCCAGATAAGATTCTCCAATCCTTGTGGCCGTCACCTTGAACCGGCTATCTCGTGCGGTATACTTCCATTCGGCCATTCCGCCATAAGAAACGTACCAGTAGACATACACTACCTTCCGGCCATCGGTCGGGTGAATATCAAAGGAGCCCTGGGTACCGGTGGGAGAAGCGGACCTCCCACTGGCATAGATTCGCCCCACGCAGTCATCTTGAGGCCATCAGGAGATCCAACTGTATTGAAATCAGTAATTCCATCGACCCATTTTCCATAGTAGAGCCACGACTTTTTGCCTTCGAGTGTTAAGGGACCTTTAGTGTAGAAGATTCTCAGTACAAAGTAGTTGCCCTCGCCCTTGAGCTTGGACTGGGATTCTATAAATCAACAAAAAGCAAATGTTACACAATCAAAACCAAAAAAGAGATGATGCTTGGATCAAATCAGTGCCATTGTTGCATAGGAACTCGAGGGAGTTCACGAGCCAAGGAAAGAGCAAAGAAGAAGAAAAAGGAGAAGAAAACTATGAGAGCTCCAAGCTTTGCCATGGCTTGAACCTCTGGAGAAGATGAGAGCCCTTAAAGCTTGTGAAAAGATGGGTGTACATGGAGCTTTCCAGCCTCCAGCCGAAATATGCTTCTACAATGACACATTAACCACTCTGATGACAAATTTAAATAAATGAAAATGGTGATGGAGCCCGTTTCTAAAGTTCGCAAGCAGACAATAGAGTATCAGCAGTCCCTCACGATGCAAAATGGAACATACAACTCAGACACTGTGCAAGAATAAATCTCAATAATTCTCAACAAAAAATAGTCTGATAAAGCTTTGAAAGGTTCAACACAAATTATTTTGAAATTTTGATATAAAAAGCTCTACTAAAAAGCTTGAATTCACTAAAAGAAAAAATAAGATAAAACAACATTGGCTTAATGAAAT